GGGGATTTGAAGTCCAGGGGGTGGCTCAGCCCCTGCCCGTTCCTCCTGTGCTGACACCTCTCCTCTGCCTTGCAGGATACTATGCAGTTGAACTAGTGAATGACAGCCTGTACGATTGGAACGTCAAAATCCTGAAGTAGGTGGCACAGTTGGGGTCACGGATCTTGGTGGTGGGACCAAAACATCCCCATGAGCCGGGGGGAAGCGAGCAGGGCAGGGGGACACCTGGCAGAGCGGGGGTTTAGCCTCTTAGTCCCACGGGCAGCTCGCTTGCTGTCTGTGCACCAGAAAGGAGGAGGCATCATCTCCAGAGACAGATGAGATAATCTGAGGGCTCTGCAAGTCTGTCTGCTGTTCCTAGAGTCCTGGAAGAGGTGCATCAGGCAAAACCCCGAGCTTTCACACCCTCCAGACACCAGTGCTGCCTTTTCCTTGGGCCAGGCAGTCTTTATATTTAAGCTGGCATGCAAAAAGGGTGTGTGATGGCCTTCTCTGGAAACCAGGAGCAGAATGCTGGCAGCGCATGCTGTCACTGCCCTCTGGGTGTGAACCTGAGGGCCCACGTGGCAGCCGGGTTGTCAGGTACGGTAGCTCTGGGCTTCACTGGCAGGGAGCGTGGCTGACTTGACGAGCGTGACCTTGACTCTGAGCCTCTGGGGTTTTCCTTCGGCAGGGTTGACGAGGATAGCGCTTTGCACAACGATCTCCAGATCCTCAAAGAGAAAGAAGGAACAGATTTCATCCTCCTAAACTTCTCCTTTAAAGTAAGGCCTCCCAAAACCTGTCATCCTCGATGCACGCCTGCTTCAGTGAGTCATCAGAGGAGAAGTTTCTCAATGGCTTTGCTTCCTTCTCTTTTCCAGGACAACTTTCCTTTTGATCCACCATTTGTAAGGGTCGTGTCCCCTGTGCTGTCTGGGGGGTGAGTAACTCTTTGCCTGGCTGTCCTCTCTGGGGTCTCTAGCTCTGGTTTTTGGAGAGGTTTTCATTAAGAGTTTATCCGCTGGGGAGTGCTGCAAGTCCTGTCACCTTTGTGGTACGAGTAGTAACATGTAGTAACCCTCCCAGGAAGTACCAACGGGGTTGGTGGATGGTTTTTTGTGTATTTTCTTCCCTGAGAGATCCTCTCTGAGCAAATGGCTCATTAGCAGAGCACTGGGTGGGTGAGGCTGTGTCCATCTCTCACGTAACTTTACCCAATTCCTTCCCCAAGGTATGTTCTGGGTGGTGGTGCCATCTGCATGGAGCTACTCACAAAACAGGTGGGTACCAGGCGTGACCCTGCGAAAGACCCAGGGCTCAAAGGCTGCCAGCGTGCTCCTGGGTAGCTGCTGCTGCCTCTCACACCTCATATTCCAGCTGCTGGCAGCCAAATCCCACTCCTCTTGCTGCCTGCGCCTCCTGCCAGCAGCTGAGAGCTGGCGTGGCTCTGCGATGCCTGTGCAGGGCTCGGGAAAGCCCTTCCCTGCCTCGGGGCCCTGCTCGTGTCCGTGCCGGCCTCACTGGTGCTCTCTGTCCCGCAGGGCTGGAGCAGCGCCTACTCCATCGAGTCGGTGATTATGCAGATCAGCGCCACGCTGGTGAAAGGGAAAGCGCGAGTGCAATTTGGAGCCAATAAGGTAGGGGCTGGTCAGGCAGGGGCTTCTCCTTCTTGGCACTCAGCAGCTGCTTTGTGCAGCTGAGGCAGAGTGGAGCTCGTCGGCGCTTGGGATCCCGAGAGCCCAGCGCGAGGGCTGGCTTCTGTGGGTGTGCTGTAGCCCAGGGAGTTTTTCTTGGGAAGGGAAGGGCAGGTGTGTGGGAAATCCCCTCTGGCTTTGTGTAAGGGAACTGGGGAAGTGGTTGGGAGGGGAACAGATGCAGGTGAGAAGACAAGCAGCTCTGTGGCAGTGCAGTTGGTGGGGGGGGGCTGTGAAATGGCTTTGCTCGTTACACCAGGCTGATTGTCACCCTGGCTTCCCTTGCAGAATCAGTACAGCCTGACAAGAGCACAGCAGTCCTACAAGTCCCTGGTTCAGATCCATGAGAAGAATGGTAAGGCCTGAGGGACAGGGGGTGCCTTTCCCTTTGCTGGTCTGGATTGAGGCTTTTCTGCCCCAAGTCAGAGATCACCCAGAGCACGATGATGCTCCCAGTCAGCAGCTGCTTGCTAAAGCAGGGAGCACGCTGCAGCACCCCTCTGCCATTCCTGCTCTGGCCCCAGAGGTCGGTGCTGGTGGCTTTTGGTGTCACTAGAGGCGGCGTGGCACTGTTTGCATGGTGTTGTGGAGTAACGTGGAGGGAAAGCCCCTGGTAATTTGGGGTCCTTTTTTGGACAGGCACAGTCCCACAGCCCTGTGGGAACAGACTCAGCGTGCTTGTGCTGCTGGGTGTTTGTGGGTATAGAGCCAGGTGTTTCTAGGTATGGCATTTATTTCTGTACAGCTGCATCCCTCGTGCATCTCTGTTCTTGTTTCAGGCTGGTACACACCACCCAAGGAAGATGGCTAGCATGGATCCTGCAGGACCGATCCGTTCATCTTCTGAACGCTGTACTTGGATCTTACGATGCCTCTCTGGCTTTCTCCCAGGATATAATAGCTCTGCCTGTTGCAGGACAATAATGGCTGTTATAAACTCTAAAGAAAACTGTTTAAGCAGTTGGACTGACCTAAAACACTTGCTGGACCCTTGCTAGCAGGCATTCTTATTAAAACAAACTTTTGAGCCTCTTGTATCGCTGGAAACTTTCGACTCTACTCCAGTCTAGAGCGTCCTCCTTACCTATGCTATGGATTTAATTTATTTTCTTATTTCATGTACACTGCTTTTTTTTGTTACAGTGTATGATGGATGTGTATGGAAAATGTATCTTTGGAGAAAAATTACAGTTTGTTAATTTGAAGATACCGGTCTCACTATTTTTTTTTTCCTCCCTCTGTTGCTGCTGGGTGGATTGAACCCTGTGCTGGCAGCGTGGAGCAAACCAGGTTGTGGTGTCTGTGCCTCCAATGTATTCCACGCTGGTCCAGTCCCGGGGTGGTGTTGGAGGTGGGGGTAAAGGAAGAGCTGCAGCTCCTGGTGCTGTCCCTGCTGCAATGGGCCAGGACGAGCCAAGCAGCGAGGGCTGCTGCAACGTTTTTGGAAGAGAACTCCCCCTTTTTCTTTTTTTCTGGGCAGCCAAGGAGAGGGGCTTCTGCCCCCTCTCTTACACCAGGAACAAGCCTCTGTAACCTGCAACCTTGTACGCCTCCGTGAGGGGAGAGGGGAGTGTTTGCAGCACTGGCCCCTGTTCTGCTGTGGGTTTGCGTGTGCAGCTGGGGGCTGCCTGCTGCCCCCAAACTTCTCAGTGGTGTATTCTGCGAAACTGGGGGATGAGCAGAGGCTCGGCCGTGCCAACCCTGGGGCTGTTCCCTTCTTGCCAGTCTCTCCCCACTACCCCTGTGCTGAGGGGATGAGGCTGTGTTCATATTTGTGCTCTGGAGGCTCCGCATGCACACAGCTGTGTGATCAGCCCTGGCCTTGTCCCTGTGCTGTGGGTGAAGCCCACCGAATTCAGGGAGTGAGGGCAGTGCCTTGTGAGTCGCTGGGACCTGGGCTGCCTCCAGGCTTGTTCCTGCAGCACCCACCTGTGTGAGCAGCCCGGCTCCGTAGGATTTCATTTTTCCTCCTCTGCTGGGTGCAGGGCTGAGCTGCAGCCGTGATTGGGGGGCATCGTGCAGTCCTGCCCCATTGCTCGAGCCTCCCTTGCTGCTGCTGGAAGGAGCTGGGTGTTGTGGCTGCTCCGGCTCCTGGTGCTGAGTCCTCAGCTGTAGGGCACGGCTGACTCATCAGCCGCAAAGCCAAGCCACTGGGATTAATTCATTGCTGTTTGAATCAAAGTTATTGGGAAATCAAAGGGCCTCAGAAGTCCATTATCACATCCAGCAGCTGCTCTGCTCATTACCCGTTGCCCTGCTTCGAGCCTTGGAACAAAAAGACGCTCGATGAGCGGGATTACGGGGGGCTGCTCGCTGCAGGAGCGGCTCCAGCCTCTGCCAGGGAGCGTTTTAAGTGCGTGGCTGGAGGGCAGGCGGGAGAAGTGTGCGGCCAGGGACCTCGTGAAGCTCATCAAGGAGAAAAGCCAAGGGCTCTGCTCCCCTCTGAGGCTTCATTAGCACCAAGAACCGGCTGGGGAGAGGGCGAAGGGTCACCGCGCTCACGTCAAGTGGAAGAGCAGCAGGAGCTGGGGTTAAACGCCGCTGTCCTTCCCCCTCAGCCTTCATCCAAACACCCAAAGGACACCAGCACTCCTCAGCCTGCCCGGAGATCAGGAACGCACGGGTAGGGGCTGGCGGGCGCTGTCTGCACCCACACGAAGCCAAACATTAACCAAAGCCTGCAGGAGGGACGCTCGCTGCCCCGTGCCCAGCAGTGCTGGCGAGGAGCTGAGCTTGGACTCGAGCCCTGGGGTAACGGAGCAGCTCCGCTCCCTGCTCCGGGTGGGTGCGAGGCTGGGAACCTGCCTCTGGCCTGGGGCTGGTGGGGGGGCTGCACCTGCAGAGCCCCTGCCCCGTCCCCGTCCTTTCCTCTTGCTGTGAGTGGTGCCAGCCCCGGCACCGCCGCGCAGGAACCCAAATCTCTGGGTCCGACCGAGGTTTCCCACAGAGATTTCTGGCAGAAATGGGGCTGAGCCCCAGGAACCGCAGCCGGGGGGGCAAAAACGGCGCTGGGGCTGAGCTGGTGGGTGCGTGGCGGGGGGGGGGGGCTGCGTGCGGGGTCTGGGCATGGGGTCTGGGGTATCCGCATGGGGTCTGCGCACATGGGGGCCTTGCATGGGGGCCGTGCAGGCTCAGCCCCTTCCCCTCCCGTCGTTCAAGCAGCCCCAGGACCCCACCGGCCCCCCCCTGACCCCCACCGGCCGCGTCCCGGTGCCGTCGGGGCAGGGTCCGGCCCCGCCGCCCCCCCGGGGCCGCGCCGCCCCCTCCGGATCTGGGCGGGGAGCTCCGGCCCCACCGCCCCCTCCGGCCGCTTCCAGCCCCGGCTCCGCTCGGCTCCGCTCCGTCCCGTCCCGTCCCGTCCCGGCCGGTCCCGTCCCGTCCCGCCGCCGCCGCATGGGGCCCCCCGGGCCGGCCTGACCGAGCGGCAGCCCCCGGGGAGCGGCCCCCGTCGAGGAACCGCGACGGCACCGCCCGCCCGCCGCGGGGCGAGCAGCCCGGGCTGCGGGAGCTGCCCCCGGAGCACGGCGAGAGACCCCCCCCCGGGGCCGGCAGCCCGGGGCTGGAGCCCCGCAGAGCCCCCCCCGCACCTCGCACCCCCCTCCCGCGGGGGTCGCCCCCGTCCCCTCCCGGGGCTCGGGACGCTCGGGGCCCCCGCGCCCCCCCCTGCCCCGGGCTGGCCCCCGGTGCCTCGGGCTGGGGGAGCGGCGCTGCCCCGCGCCCCGCGGCTGAGCTGGCCCTGACCCCCTCCGCCGGCCCCGGGGGGGCCGCGCCCCCGGCCCCATGGCGGCCAAGTGGTTCAAGGAGTTCCCCGCCAACCTGAAGACGGTGTCGGAGAGGGCTCGGCCCGGCGGCGGCAGCCTGGGCAAGCTGTGCGGCCCCTCCCGCAAAAGCTTGGGGCCCGGCGAGCCCCCCGGGGGAGCCCCCCCGGGGAAGAGCCGCAAGAACTCGGCGGCGGAGCTGGGGGGCTGCCGGGCCGGCCCCGGGGCCGGTAAGGACGGGGGCAGCCGGCTGTCGAGGGACAACCTGCAGGGACTGCTCCAAGCCGCCACCGGGAAAATGCGCAAAAACTCGAGGGCGGAGGGGGCAGCGCCCGAGGGGCCCCCCAAGACCTGCGGCACCTACATCAACCGCCTGATCAAGGTGGAGGCCCACGAGAAGAACGGGAAGAGCTACCCCAGCGCCAGCCCCGCGCCCGAGCAGGACAAGGGGAAGAGCGCCAAGACGGAGACGGTAAGGGGGGACCCTTACTGGGGGGGTGGGGTGGGGGGAATGGAGCCCCCCCCTGCACGGGGACAGTGGCCGTGCCGAAGCCACCGCATCCTTGGAGCAGGGGGGGAGCGCTTGGCATCGGCAGCTCCAACAGCCTCGGGCTCAGCATCATTAGCCCGGCTGACCCCGGTGTTTCATCGTGCCCAGCTCCAGCTGCCGTCAAGTTCCTTTCATCCCAATTTCCCTTAATCCGTGTTGCCCCCCCCCAACCCCTCCCCGGTCCCAGCCCTGCAGGAGCCCGGCCTGACCCTGCTTGCTTGGCACTTGCTCGGGGACTGGTTCAATAAACGCTTACATAAAGCTGTGCTGGGACAAGCACTGGGGGGGGGGGGGGAGTGTGGCTCTGGAGCCCGGTGTGGCCTTGGGGACGGGGCCGCCACCGTGGTGGCATTTGGGGTCTGAGCCCTGCTGCTTCCTGAGCGTCACCCAGAAATGTCCCTGAATCCTGGACTGTGTGGGGATGGATGCTGCCCACACACAACCAAAAAGGTGCCACTCGTGGGCATGTCCCACATCCCAGTACCTGGGGCTAGCACCCCACTTCTCACCACCCCACCTAGGGACATTCCTGTCCCCTGCCAAGAGACACCAAGCACACTGTGACAGCATCCCCATCGCCACTATGGGACCCCCACCCCGAGCCCCCTCAGCCGGTGCTGTCCCTCCCCAGGTCATCATCCTGGAGGACTATGCCGACCCCTACGACGCCAAGCGCACCAAGGGGCAGCGGGAGGCCGAGCGGCTGGGGGAGAACGACGGCTACATGGAGCCCTACGACGCGCAGCAGATGATCACAGGTGGGTGCCGCACCGGGGGGGGGGCCGCGGGGCTGGCACCGCTCAGGACCGGGGCCGTCAGGCGGGGACCCACCCGGCGCGGGAGGCTTTGGGAACAGGAAAGCCGCTCTTCTGTTTCCTGCTGCTGCACGGGGAGAGATAAGGCGCGGGTTCGGCGATGGCCTGCCCTGGCCGGGCGCTGACCCACGGCCGCCGGTGCAAAGTCCTGGTGCCACTGGGGAGGGTGCACGGGGCCCGTACGACGCCCCAGGGCTTGGCGCTGCCACGTTGAGCCGTGCTGGGGGACCCGGCACCACCGCGCCCCTTCCCCACCCCGTGGGGACCTCACTGCGCTCTCACCACCCGCCCCGGCTTCGGGTCCCCCCCGCCGCCCCTTGGCTGTGCCCCCCAGGCCGGCGACCCCCGCTCCACCCAGGAGGCCGCACAGCTGGACAGAATAACAGGAACTGAGTCGGCCGGAAGCTGGAAATAAAAGATTTGCTGCTGATGGTTTTTTTCCGTGCAGGGCAGCCTGGGCTGTTTGTCCAAGCGGTGTTGGTGGAGTCAGGGGCGAATGGGGTCGGGGAAGGGGGAGCCCCGGGGAAGGGGAGATGGGGCTGGGGGCGCCCACTGGGGGTGTCCCCAGGGTGGGTGGGGGGGAGCGAGCCCCTGCTCCGCCGCCTCCGCGTTGGGGTGTAGCATCCTGCAGCCACGGCCCCGCTTCCTCCGGGATCCCGGCGGCCCCGCGGGCGGGCGTCTGTGCCGGCGGCGCCAGCGCTTCGGGGCCGCGACGGCGGCCGGGCGCCACGGGGATGGGCTCCTTCCTGCCCCGGTTCCTCCCGCCCCTGGCACGTGGGGTTCCCACCGCGTATCCTTCCCCATGGGTAGTGTTTGTGGGGGTTTGTGGGGGGGAGTTGCAGCCCCCTCCCCAACCCACCTCCCTTTTGCCCCACAGAAATCCGCCGCCGGGGCTCCAAGGACCCACTGGTCAAAGCCATCCTGCTGCTGGACGGCCCCAGCGAGCCCGGGGAGGTGGGGGGCAAGGTGGAGGCTGCCAAGTGGCCGGGGGGCAAGGAGGCAGCGGGGAAGGGGCCGCAGCTCTACGACACCCCCTACGAGCCCGGCGAGGGCACCCCGGAGCGCAAAGCGAGGGCTGGGGACGGGCGCCTGCCCGAAAATGATGAGCGCCCGGCGGCTGAATACGAGCAGCCCTGGGAGTGGAAGAAGGAGCAGATCGTGAAGGCGCTGTCGGGTAAGGGCTGGGGCTGGGAGGGGGCTGCGGGTGGGCGTGGGGGGGCAGCAGGAGGCTCACGCCTCTCCCCCTACCCCGCTCCCCCAGTCCAGTTCGAGGGCTCGGAGCGGCCCAAGGAGGAGGCGCCGCGGCAGCACCTCCGCCAGAAGAGCTGGACCCCCAAGATGCTGAAACCGGCGAGCGCGGAGCACGGCGAGGGCGAGCGGGTGGACCCCGCCTTGTCGCTGGAGAAGCAGCCGTAAGTCACGAGGCCGAGCCACGTGGGGCAGCGGTGGCGGTGTGGGGGGGGAGCTGGGTCACCTCTCAGTGTCCCCCCCCCTCCCCGTGTCCCTCCTGCAGCTGGTACCACGGGGCCATCACCCGAGCCGAGGCTGAGACCCGGCTGCAGGCGTGCAAGGAGGCCGGGTACCTGGTGCGCACCAGCGAGACCGGCAGCGGCAAGTACTCCATCGCGCTCAAGTGAGTGGCCCTGCAGCCACGGGGGGGTCCCGGCACTGGGGGGGGGCTCCTGGCACGGGGGGGGTCCCACCATGGAGGGATGTGGCAGCACAGGGGCCGCAGGAGTTACCACTTGATGCACGGGCACCCCAGTGGGGTGGGCAGTGCCCTTGTCCGGGGGGTGGCACCCCCTCGTCCTACCCCACCAAGGGGACACGGCTGTCCCCGAGCTGCCCGGGGTTGGGGAGGGGAAGGGGGGGCGGGGGGCGGCGCGTCCCCCTCCCCGCCCGCGGCGCATTGTCGGGAGCGCTGGCGGCATTTCCTTCCTGAGGAAGCGGAGCCCCTGGAGCTGAAACAATCGGAGTGGGAAGGGAACAAACAGGGGTGGATGCGGCCCCGGAGCGGCCGGGCTGGGACCCCGCGCTGGGTGGGTGGGTGGGTGGGTGGGCGCCGGGGGGCTGCCAACCCCCTGCTGACCCCCACACCCCCCCACACCCCCCCACCCAGGACCAGCCAGGGCTGCGTGCACATCATCGTGGCGCAGACCAAGGACAACAAGTACACGCTCAGCCAGGCCAGCGGCGTCTTCGCCAGCATCCCCGAGGTGGTGCACCACTACTCCACCGAGAAGCTGCCCTTCAAGGGGGCCGAGCACATGGCCCTGCTGCACCCCGTGCACTGCAAGCTGTACTAGCGCCCGCTGGGACTTGGCTGCCACCCCCACAGGGGGCTGGGTGACATGGGGGGGGGCGTCCTGCAGCCGTGTCCTGTCCCCCCCCCCCCAGCCCCTGGGGCTGCCCGGTGGTTGCTGCCCACCGCTGGACTCTGGCAGGGCTGCGGTGGTCTCCCCGCGGGATGGATGCGGCCGCGGGTGGCTCTGGGCACTGGGGGGCTGCAGCCCCCCCCCCAAACACAGCCTGGGGTGGGGGCCGGGCCGTTACGGGGCCGTGTAATGAAGTAGTGAAATAAACTCGTTGGCTGAGAGGAGAGGAGCTGGGCAGGGATGGGGCTGGGGGGGCCGGGGGAGAAGGGTCCCGAGGGGGCAGGGGTGGGGACGGGGGGCGTAATAACGCAGAATGGGGCTGGGAGCAGAACGTGAGGGTGGAGGGGGAGGGCAGGGGTGGGGCTGGAGGGGTGCAGGAGGGCAAGGGCCCCCCAGGGGTGGGGAGAGGGGCTGGGACAGGGACAGGTCCTGCCCTGAGCACCCTGCACGGGACAGGCTGAGCACGAGGCTCTGCCTCGCTCAGCGCCGGGTGCTGCCGAAACCAGGGCAGGTTTCCGGGCCGGGGCCGTTGGGGCTGACCCCAGGGCACAGCCCCGGATGGGGCCCGCGTCGGGGCGCGGGAGAACAAGGGCAGAACGGCCCCGGGGGGGGGCAGGTGGCAGAGCACCCCGGGGTCACCTGGGTGCCACGGAGCGTGGAAATGGGCGACAACCCCAAAGGCAGGGCAGCGAGCACAAACCACAGCCCCCCCCCTTTGGGATGGGTGACCTGGGGGTCCTGGGGGTCCCTCCCTCCCCCACCCTGCACCCCCCCTGCATCCTGCTGGGTTTTTTATAGAGCGGGGCCGGCCCACGGGGAACTCGGTGTCCCCAGGGCACTCGGGCACCCGCTCCCCTCGCCCTGCGGTTTCCTGCCCGGGCACAGCTGCAGCTCCCCAGGGCCTTGCACAACGCGGCACGGGGTGGGCTGCCGGGGGCACGGCCCCGGGGTGCAGGGCATGAGGGTACGTGGCATAGGGTGCAGAGGAAGGGGGGGGCACAGCCCAGCCTCCCCCCCCCCAACCATCCTCGTTGCTCTGTTAAAACACCAAACACCAGGCGTTTATTTCGGAGGCGCGTTGTGCCGCGTGGCCCCGACACGTGCTTTAAAAACCAAAAAAAATAAACTTTTGCACAGGGCCAGAGGGGCGGAGGGACGGTGCTGATCCAGCCAGGCCCTCCCATTCCCGCGGCACCAGGCGCAGGGGGGGGGGGGGCTCAGCCCTTCCCCACGGGACCCTCGGCGCCACCACCCCAAACCCAGCCCCGGGGGGAGCGCGGCCCCGTTCTCACGCTCCGGCACTTCCAGCTCCTTAACCCCCGGCCACCCCAGCTTGGCCGTGGCCCCAGAGCTGCCCCCCCCGGGGACCCAGCTTGGGGCCCCCCCCAGGGGTCGGTTCCCCATAGGGGTGGTACCGATCCCGCTCTGCAGGGGCTGCTCGAGCCCCAGAGCCTGGGGAGGGCGCTGGGGGGCTGGGAGAGCTGCCAGCACCGGACCCCCCCCCCCCCTTCTCCCCCAGCTTCACCCATGGGTGTCTGCCAGCGTCCTCCTCCCCGGCTACTTGCCCGAGAAGAAATAGTCCAAGTTGGTGACGTGAAGGGGCCCCGGCGCAGGGGGGGTGGCCGGTGGGAGCAGGGGGGTGGCGCTGAGCGGGGAGCTGGGGCTGGGGGGGCCCAGGGGCACCAGCGCGTGCTGCCCCTCGCCCACGGGCTTGGCCCCCCGCCGCGCGCCCAGCTGCCACGTCTGCTTGTACCTGCGGGAGGGGAGAGCAGCCCTAGGTCAGAGAGGGCCGGCGGAGCCCCCCCGGGTGCCCCCCTCCCTCAGCACTCACCTCACCAGGATGGCGATGAAGAGGGCGATGCCCAGGAGCAGGCTGCCCCCAGCCACCAGGAAGGGGTAGGGGTAGGCGACGGAGCGGGCGCTGGCTTCCAGGACAGCTCCTGCGGCACAGAGGGGACAGGGGCTCGTCTGCGGGACTGGAGTGGGGGGGGGGGCAGCCCCTCACAAAGCCCCCAGCCCCTCACAAAGCCCCCAGCCCTCGCCTCACCTCCATCGCCATCAGCAGCATTGTCCTCAAAGAGCTCGGGCGGCAGCGTGGCCCCGTAGCCGTAGGCACCATCCTCTGTGGGGAACTGCAAGAGCCAGCGGGGGGGGGGGACACGGTGGGACGGGGCAGCTCCAAGCAGGGGGACATTTTGTGGGGGGGGGTGAGGGGGGGCACCACGCCACATCCTACCTGCGAGCTGTAGGGCCCCATCTCGGTGACGTCCCTGGGGTCTGCAAGGTGAGAGGTCCGTGAGACACGGGGACCACGGCACAGCCTGGGTGGGGGCACGCACGTCCACGTCCCCCCCCCCGTACCTGTCCACGGGGTGCCCACGGCCTCGTGGCTCCACTCGCTCCACGCGCCGTGCCCAAACTCCTCCTGCGCCCGCACCTGCACCAGGTGCCGCGTGCCCCGCCAAGCGTCGCGGATGTCCAGCCACGTCCTCGTCACCTGGTCAACCTGGTGGGGACACGGGCGGTGTGAGCTGGGGGGGGGGGACACAGACCAAACAGCCCCAGGGTCCCGCTCCGCTCGGGGTGGGGGCTCACCTCGGTGAAGGTCGGGGTGGGCTCGGGGCGGTAGCGGACCTGGAAGCGGAGCCAGTAGAAGCGGGGGTCCCAGGAGGAGGGGTAGGTCCAGGTGACACGCAGCCGCTGGGGGGCTTTTTCCAGCGCCTCCACCGTCACGTTGAGGGGGGGGTCCGGCTTCACTGCGGGCACAGGGGGGGCTCAGGGACCGGCACCGCGCGGTTTGGCCGGCGCAGGGGGGAGCCGGCACTCACGGATGCTGCTGAGGGTGATGATTTTGTCCTCGCCGGCCGAGCCGCCCGCAGCGTTGCGGACACACGTGGACACCACCAGGGGTTTGTTGTCGTCCACGCCGGGGGGCACCTTCACCCGGCAGACGAATTTCTGCGCCTTGGAGAAGAAGCGGCACCGCTGCTCCGTGGCGTTCTCCACCGCGAACCTGCGGGGACGTGGCACCGGGGATGGGGTGGCCCCATCTGGGATCGGGAAAAGGGCTCGCGGGGAAGGGGGGTGCACGGACAGGCAGGGGGCTGCCCCCCCCTGGGTACCCCAGGGCGCGCTCACCTCCGCTTCACCCACAGCATCGCCCGCGTGCCCGGGGACGGCTTCGCCCGCAGCCGCCACTCGCACAGGACGTCTTTGTCGTGGCTGCGCCGGTAGCAGGAGACGTGGGGGGTCTCGGGGGGCTCTGCAAGGCAGGGAGGCGCTGGGGGGGTGAGCGAGCAGGGGCACGGAGTGGGGTGGGGTGGGGGGCGTCCAGAGCAGGCGATGCTCCGGGGAAGCCCCTGCCCCGGCACGGACCCACCTTCCACCAGCAGCCGCAGGGTGCGCAGCGTGCGGCCCCCGGCGTGGCAGCTGTAGAGCCCCGCGTCCTCCACCTGCAGCCGCTGCAGGAGCAGCGTGTGCCCCCCCGGCAGCAAACGGCCCCCCGCCGGCGCCCGCTTCTCCGTCCTCCAGGCCACGGAGCCGTTCAGCGGCCCCTCGGCCCCGCACGTCAGCGTGACGTTGGCTCCCGGGCGTCCCAGCACCGTGTCCTGCGAGAGCCCTGGGAGCAAGGCAGGGACGGGGATGGGGGGGGGGGGGTTAAGCAGTGTCCCCCCCCCTCCCTGTCCACCTGCTGCCTGCACCCGGAGGCCGCTCAGTGTCAATATTTGCGGCCAGCGCCAAGCAGGCGCCAGCTCCTGCTGAGCTGGCAATTCCCCGGCTGAGCCGGGCACCGCCGGGGGGTAGCGGGTGGGGGGGTCCCAGGAGGTGGAAGCGTGGCTGGAGGAAAGCAGGGGGCTGGGGGGGTGAAGGGGGGGGGGGGGTGCAGGTGGTGCCGGAGGGGTTAAGCAGCGAGGCCGCCGGGCTGAGCACGGGGCCAGGCAGGGTGCCAAGGGCAGCTCTGCCCCTGCTCCGTCCCAGGGCGGCCGCAAAGGTCAGCGGGGAGCGGGCGGCTCCGAAAGCCCCCCCCTGCGGGGAGCGGGGCCGGCGCTTAGGACCCCCAGAGCCCGGGACCCCCAGCGCCCCTGGAGCCCAGGACCCCCAGGGACCCCAGTGCCCGGAGCCCCCAGGACCCCCGGCGCTCAGCACCCCCAGCGCCCTCAGGACCCCCCGTGCCCGGGCCCCCCAGAGTCCCCAGGACCCCCCCCGATCCCCTCCAGCACCGCTCCCAGCCCCGGCCCCCCCCCGCTGCTCTCCCGGGGCCGGTAATCCCGGGCACTCCTTCCCGCAGCTCCCAGCCCCGTGACCGCGGTGGGGAGCACCGGGACCCCCCCGGACAGCGCCCGGACAGCAGCGGAGCGGCCCCGGCAGCCGGTACCGGGGGTGGGGGCGCTGCGGGAAGCCCCGGTCCCGTCCCCCCACCCAACTCCCGTTACGGGTCCCGGTGCCGGTACCGGGAGGCACTCACCCACGGGGCCGCAGGGCCGCCGGGGCACGGCAGCGGCAGCAGCGGCGGCGGCGAGGAGCAGCGCGGGGGGGAGCAGCGGCCCCGCCATGCGCCCGGGCCCCGGGCCGGGAGCGCACCCGGGGGAGCCGCCGGCGGCGCTGCCGGGGCCGCGGTTGTGAAACCGGCGCGGGGGCGGCCGCACGTGCACCGGGGGCGGGGCGGATCCGCCCCCCCCACCCCCCCCCGTGTGCCTCCACCCCCCCCTCCCGGACCCTCTGCCACCCCCCCACCGCCGGCACCGGGAGCTGGGGGGGGGGGGGGGGTCCCGGCTCCGTACCTGGAACCGCGGCACCTGCGCCCCCCCCAGCCCCGTTCCTCCCCCTCCCCACCTCCGGTGCTGGGCCAGGAAGCAGAGACACGGCAGAAGCTGCTGAGAACATTTATATAGATATAGATATATGCATATAAAAAGCTGGTTATTTTCCTCTGTGTACCCATAAAATGATACAGTTCGGCAAGTATAGAAATGTGTAATAAATTATACGCGACGGTCCTCGGCCCCCGCCCGTCCCCACCCCTCCCCACCCCGAGAAGACCAGAAAATAAACCCGAACGCCCCCAAAAATAGACTCTAGACCCCGCCAAAGCCGGTCCTGAACTGTTTCCTCTTTGGTATGAGCACGGAGAGGTCCCGGGGGCCGGCACCCCCCCGGCCCCGCCGCCTTCCCAGAAGGCCGAAAAGGAACAAAGCGGCCCCGGGGAAGGGCACGGAGGGGATGG